CTTAAACATCATTTTCAATGTCAATTACTTTTTTAATCATATTATCAATATCGCTATTTAAACATGCGTTACTTCTCAATTTCAATTTGCACGTATGCGAACTACAACAACACAATTAGAGTATCGCTTCATTCTTCTATCTCAATAAAACTTTTCTTCGATTTCAATACAACTTTTCTTTTTTTCGATCATATTCTTTTCTTCCGATAGCAATCTTTTCTTTTTTTTTCTCCCTCTCAATAGGATATTTTTCTCTCAATATTCTTTCAATAGTATTTGATCTAACTACAGTCGAACCCCGGTTTAATGAACCCCTATTTACTGAATTTCGCGATTTAACGAATTTTATGAAGTTAATGAAGTAACTTTACAGGAAACAATGAATAGCGACGACTCTGACACAGAAGTCGATTATAACAAATCTCCAGTAAAAACTTACTTTTTTCTGATGCTTTGCACGGTTTGTAAACAGTAAAAACTAAACCTAATTCAGTAAGATGTAAACGAAGGAGTATTTTATTCTCTTCATGATGTCGAAAAAAAACTTTTTAAAGTAAAAATTCAAAGAAATAAGCAAACCTTACTCACGAAATGTTCTAAAATTTCTAATTAATCAGCGCTTAATCATTCGCTGTATTTTAAGTTCCCGAATAAAAAATGTAAGATTTTTTATTAGAGATGTTCGAATATTTCATAAGATTAGTAATTTTCTTATTTTTCTTTTACCCCAGATATTACGAATTATCCCCGATTTAACAAATATTTTCGATCACTATGAATTCGTTAAATCAAGGTCCAACTGTATATTCAATATCAACTCAATATCGCATTGAAATATATTAATATAACAATCTCATATTAAGTGTGATATTTCCTATATTTCCTATATATCCAGATGACTGTTACTGTTTATTTTGAAATCCCCAATGTCTTCTTATTTCTCCTTCTTTATGAAATACGCAAATGAATTCAGTCGCTTATATTTAAAATAGCAAATTATTTTAAGTATTCAGCTGCATTTAAAGGTTATGTACATGACAGTGTTGTCTGTTTCGAATCGAACATGCTCTGTTATCGAACAAGTTCATAAAATTTGCCGCGTATTCGATATGTGCCGATGTTTCAACGACTAATGCTGGGAGGAAGAACATAAAGGAGAATTAATGTATCATCAAAAGATGGAATTTTTCGGTGGAAAATCTATTCCATTCCATTTTCCTCGAATGGCAGCATCCAAACGATAGGAATACCTTTATGCGAATTCTAGCTTCGAAAAGCAGAGGTCTCCTTCGAAAGCGGGGAAGAAATAAACAACACATTCGATTCTAATACGTGAACCGAAACCATTTACAAATATAAATTGTTCTTAAAATGGTCCCTTTGCTAGCCGGTGAAGGAACGAGATATCGGGAATCCCTTCGATGCATTCATAGGTGAACGGAAATTTAAAAAAGGGGAAATTTTACAGATAATACAAAATTCTTAATTATTCTGAATGGAATGGGTACTTATGTTCATTTAATACACCCATTTTCACTAACTTTAATATAAACGCGTAGTGTACAGATAACCAGCCAAGTTCGGGCAATAGAATATTTTAGTTCAGAAAATTGGCATGAGTTCATTATTTTAAAGGTGTTGCTGAATACGAATCGACTCCTTGCAACCAAACTTTATACCGAAAAAACTGAAAAATCTGGTTTTTTGCATGTACGTTTTTTTAAATTTAATTTAAGATAGAACATTTCTGACGACCTAGTTGAAAACTAGAGAGAATTTCCTACAAAATCTAAGAAAAACGAAATAAACGAGATTTGAAAAATAAAATTCTGTACCCAGAAAAAAAAATAATTTAAGGAATACGGATTATTGTGACTCAGCACGATTAAACAAATGGGAAATAATTTTAATCGTTAACATAATAGTTCAAATAGGAAACGGTTTTTATAGCTCTGGTATTAATTTTCTTCTACTTTTAAAAATTTTAATATAAATATTAAGATATCTGACAACATTTGATTTTTCTCTTTTTTGTTACTTTTGACAACTTAAGCGCAAACTTATAAAATGAAAATCTCGAGAAAAGTTTTTTTGAACTTGGAATGTTGACTGTTCTGTACGTTTTGATATTGCGGCGACCCAAAATAATCGTAACCGCACCGATTACGATCAAGAACTTGAACTTTCACTTTTCATTCGCCAGAACAATCTAATAGCTGTCTCTTTAGTATGACGCGCTGTTTCATATTCACTTTCTTGGTAATTTAATATTTTAGTTATTATGTTGAAATAACCAACCAACCTCCACACTCTAAGGATAATGAATAGTACCTTATTTCATATAAAAAAAGCGTAAACTTCATTTTATTATTCTATGAATTAAGAGTTTTTCAACATTGCTTCCCTTACTTTAGTCAATGTTGGACCCTATAAATTTTACGTACACGTGATAAAAAGAACGCATTTACTTTCAGAAAATAACGGTTTTAAATAATAATGAATAAATAAAATAAATAGATGGATAAAATTAATATTTTAATGATAAACTCAAGCATTGTGTTTGTATGCTTTCTTTCTAAATTTTACTCAAGAAAAGGTTCTGAAGTTCCCTTTCAGGTTATTTAATAATTTCCTTCTCAGTTAACTTAGTTTATCCCTTAGAAATATCGAACTTTCTACATAGCTATTGAAAAAACTACAGCTAGCAAAAATAATTTTTTTCTTCTTAACAAAAATCTTCATTTTAACGCGTTATTCTTGGTAGGTAGGCACTTTATTTACATCGCACTAGAGCTGCACAATGGGCTATTGGTGACGGTCTGGGGAAACATCCCTGAGGATGATCCGTAGACTTGGCATCGCAATTTTGATCCTCTGCAGAGGGGATGGCTCCCTGCTTTGGTAGTCCGACGACCTGTGCGCGAAGTCGAGCACTTTACGGTAGAACAGTTTAACGAGGACCGAAATCGCGCACCCTCGGTCCCTACGTAGACTGATAAAAGTGGTCACCCTCCGGCTTACTGGCAGCAGCCAATGATGCTTAGCTTCTACTAGGAATCACGTCTTTATGATCTGTCCTCTGCGGAACTGCGTTATTGTAATCCAATAAAAAATTATTAAGTCTAAATTTTTGGTAAAGCAATCAGAATTGCGAACTACGTAAGGAAAAGTACTACTCTGTTTAACAACAAAGCTTTATTTTATGGATAGTCCCCTACACTACAAAGAGTTTTTTTCAGAAGCCACCCTACTTTTATGACTCGATGGTTGATTCTCGCAGAGCATATAAAAGGGAGAAAAGCCAGCAAAAGTCAGGGGCCGCCTTGGGAAACTGGTTGATCGGGCGTTTCAGGCGCTTATAGAGTTGGAAAGAGTTTTGACTTCCTCACTCTCGTTAGGTGAATCGTGAGTATGTGCTCATATTTCCTAGCGCTCGCAACATATCAATTGTTCCCACCTTCATAATTTTTGAAGCTATTGTAGTATCAAGTACATTTTTCTACTTCAGATTTTTGGAATATTCATTTCCGATCAGTTATAGCTGGATTTTTTTTTTAGTTTTTTTAATTTGAGCAGATACATACGCTAATAGCTGTAAGATGTTTAAGAACAGCTGTTAGGTCTGTTTTATCAAATGGAGCTATAATCTAAACAAAAGGTTGTTGACGAGTTTCCAACGTCTTCTGTAGCCCGTTTCTGTAGTCGCTGATTGCTTTATTCTCACTGCATGCACATGAAGGAGAGCCTGATCAGTGAAAGCTTAAGGCTAATTCAAAATGAATAGAGCGATTACAAACAGCCATAACTATTTAATGAAAAATAATTTATTAATAAGATTAACATGGAATGTAGATGGAACTTCAAAGTTACTTTACGCAAGGCGCAGTGAAACGGAATTCTGCGCATGCGCGATTTCATTAGTCAAAATGGAGAGTCCCGTGCATTCTGCGTGTTTGAATTAAACAATTGTCATTCTAGTATCACAGAGCAGAGAAGATTTTATCAGCGTTACAATCAGGAATCTTCAAATAGGAACAACATGCGCAGATGGCATAGAATGTTTGAAGAAACGAGATGTTTGTGCAAAGGGAAAAGTAGCGGAAGGACACGTGTTTGAGCGAAAAATGTAGAAAGAATTTGCCGCACCTATGAACGAAGCCCACAAAAATCGACGTACGAAGGCAGTAGAGAGCAACAATTTTATTTTATAACCGTCGTTCAACAACCGACCCAATTTTTGGGTTTACGACTACTAATGTTCATCTCCTTAACCTTGTAATTTTGAACCCAATCCAGAAGACAAGGGAACTCCTGAATCGAGTAGTGGGGGATAAATATGCCTTCGTGGAGAACTTTTTGATGGAACTAACCCGCATTTGCTTTGCATGGAGAGGAAGACCACGAAAATCTCCCACGGTTAGATTGACGATAAGGGGACTCTAACTCATGATCCGTCTACCGCTGAGGATATTTCACGCCAGCGCTGTGATCGGTGCAAGCCGGGTGCGGAATTCGCATCGACTGTGATTCGAACCCGGATCACCTCATTGGAAAACGAACGCTCTATTCCCTGAGCCATCACGGCATAAGAAGCAACTACAGAAGAACTCAAAGAAGGCGTTTGTAATGCGCATGCGTCGGTGACTGCACAAATGCTTCAGAATGTATGGCGTGAAATGGACTTCAGCCTAGATGTTGTCCACGTGACCAAGGGAAGTCACATAGAGAATCTGCGACGCATGTATACAAAATTTTGAAGTTTCTTCTACCTTCTGTGTAAATTTTATCGATAAATTCTTTTTCATTAAGTGGTAATAGCCGTTTGCAATCGCTATAGACATCTTGAATTAAACTGTTTTTTCCTGAGAAAAATTCATAAATGATTCAATTGGTTTTAGTTGTTTTTTGCAAAAGTGAATAGAAATAAAAAATTTTGGAATCTATTACATTTAGAATAAATAAGAAGAGAAGAATATATTTGCATGAAGCAGTGAACTCACCTGGTGCTGTTTGCCAACTTAGACCACCAATAAACATTTTCCTAGAAAAAAAAACATTCATATTAACTACTGAGTATTGAAAAGTATTTATAGGGTAAACCAAATATTTTTGAAAAATAGGACTTTAAAAGTTTTTCTTTAGGTCGACGTAAAAAGTAGCCTACTGTGAAAGAATTGAAAACATTTGATACTGAATCATCTGGTCACATGATTTTCTCTGGAACATTTTTTAAAATATTTTCTGCATTACCTTATTTTTCTGACAAAATTATAAGTTGAGTGTTCTTAGTTATCGGTTTTAAGAAGAATTAATTGGATGGAATATTTTGTTTTTATCTCTACGAAAAAAGAGAGATCAAAATATGGTTATTGAAATTAGGTTTCATTTTTTAAGCATCGCAGCATAATTAAATACCGAGATTAGCGGGTGTTTATTAACTGGTTTACCAAATGATGAAAAACCAATAAACGAGCAAGTGTTCATTTTTTGGTTTTTCATTTATTGATCGAGTACGAAAATTCGTGCTCTAACTAGAAATAGATTTTACATAAAGACAAAATTTGGTATTTTCAGAATAAACGTTTTTTTTTTAAAAAATTATAAATGATGTTCTTCAGGTTGTTTTCGCGCTATCGTCTTGCTGTTCGAAAATGTACTTAATTATAGCAATGCGTTTTAATTTTCTCTCAATTTTATGCAAAATTTTTAATAAGCAAAGAATATGTCGACACTCACATTTACCGAAAATTACAAACTTTGAAAATATTATAAATTTTTATAGACAAGCTCTCTCAAGTAGCAATACGATATTATTATAGATTCAAATGATATTAGAAAACGCTGAATTCCTATATTTAAATTATATTTTAACATCACACTTTAAATTGTCTATGACTAAAACCATCTAACAGCAAATAATCCTAAATATACACTAGTACAGATTTCTTTTATAAAATTCTACTTAATGAATTATATAAACGTTTTAATTTATATTTAAGCTATTTCAGCATATGTATACAGTTGCGCTCTTAAAATGAACGTTTAATCAGATCATACAACATGGCACTTTAATCATTCATAAGTTCCCTTAATTATATTTCACAAAAATATGATGCTCTTACTTAAAGCAATTCAAAATCTGTATGTGAAACTGAGTTCAGTTCGTTTGGCACAAGATTGAAAATAGAAAGCTAATATAATAACAAAGTTTCATTCTAACAACAATCCAGACAAAGTAATTTGTAAATAAACAAAGCATTTTTTTTTATCTTTCCCGACACACTAAACGTTCGTAACTTTTTAACCGAAACTGTGGTTGGTAAACCTGTGTGCTTAAAATCATTGCATTTTTGGAATGATTATATTTTAAACTTCTTTAAAAAGATCGTCTTTATGAAACAGAAAGCAATCTTCACATGAAATATTTATTTTTCTCGATTATTACAGATATTCATTTTATGTTTAAGGTGTAAAAATAGTTTGTAAATGTCAACTTAGATTAAAGATTATAAATTTTACCTATTCTCATTCGGCAGAGACAGAGTGGGGATATTTCCGTATCGTGATGCATTTTTAGTATCTCGCGGGCTAATGCCCGGAAGTTACAAAAACTTGGCAATTATTCCGCCGTAGACGGAGTTTCAGACTGTTTTTTTCCAATGAATAATAAGTTTTATAATTCATTATTTTAGTGTGCATATCTTTTGATAATAGGGAAGTAAATGATTTTCCAGGATTTTTTAATAAATCCAAGCTAATTATTTACTTAAATTAATTGGATTTTATAATTAATAATTTAGTGCTTTCTGTGTAAAAGCTTATTACTGTTTCTTTTTTTATAATTTCAATTATAGCTGATCACTGGTCAAGCGGTGACAGTACTGGACTACTGGTCATGGTTTTGTGGATTCGAATCCCCCCCCC